GGTGTGTATGTACATTGGGTGTATTTTATTTTAAGAACAGCTGACTGGCAGCCATTTTCATGGTTTTGCATATCTGAAGTCCTTTCTCAGACATGCTTTGACCGATTTAGTTCAAACTTGATCAATGCACTTGATCAAAAAGTAGTAAATAAATGCCAACTTTTCATTCATATATCTAATATTAAACTACGAGTACAGGGGGGGCTGTGACATTCTCAATAACTTGTTTTCAACAATTTTTATCAAGACCTGAAATCATTACCAAATAAAATTAAGGAAAATACATAAAATGTACTCAATTTTTTCAGCAAAATTTATGGAGCTTCACGAGTTAAACTTTGATTCAAATTATGGGATTTTAATGCACTATCTTTGAGTCCACCAGCACCTATGAATCTTAACGTCATATTTTGGCCAGTGGGTTTAGCTTTTTCATTGAGTCTGGGACACACTCAGGGTAGGGCTTGACCCTTTTCTGTGTTCAACCTCAGGACTACCAATCAGGAGTCAGATGCAACAACCACTACACGATTCATGACCGTTTTCGATCCACTGAATATCGCTCATGCTCAACTAAGCGGTCACCTCCCACTTTTGGGAGTCCTGCTAGACTTTGCTCCCATCCTTCCTGAAATGTCCCAAACTTGACTGTCAATTTATGAAATCTCGTCATTGGACATTGTTTAACTTTAAATTTCCAAATACAACATGTAATCAAATTACAGCATCTATTGTGATTGGCGTGTGAACGGTGAACTAAAGTGTTATAATATTAAATTCATTGCACACTAGATCTGATCAACATATTTAGTGACCATATATGGTCATGTGATCTCATTAAAAATGCATAAATATTTGATGCCCTTCTTGTTTCAAAGGAGTATAGCACAAAAATCTTGAAATAAAAGCGTGAAAACATGAAGAAGAAGAAAAGCCAACACCATGAGTAATAACAAATTATCTCCTCACTGTTTTCAAGGTTGTAGAGAAAGCCTACCCAACGGAACCAGTGGGGGTTGTCTGTAAAGTTGATGGAAAGTACAAAGTGGTTGAGTACAGTGAAATCACTTTGCAAACAGCTGAAAAGAGGAATGAAGATGGTCGCTTGATGTTTAGTGCTGGCAATATATGTAATCATTTTTTCACAATTGATTTCTTGCGTCAAGTTGTAAGGTGAGTCCCAGTGATGTTTTGCGTATTATTTAGTCTAGTAATGTTCATATATTGTGTGTTCAGAGACAGAAGGTAAATGACTTACTTATATTTATGTAAGTGTCTGTTTGATTAACTGATAGCCACTACATTGTATGTGACAGTAGAAGTAAATTCACTCCAGGGATTGCGTTAACGCGGAATTCCGCGTCCGGGAAGCATAGTTTTTATGTGGGACGCATGAATTTTTCAACTGGTGAGTCCTTGGGACGCATCCGGTGAGCACACGTCTCGGTCGTATTACGATAGGTCTAAAGGCATTGTGTGCGTTTGCGATGCCATTGTCCCGCATACAAAGTTCATAGAGCTTTTAAATTCACTTACAATACTGTGCCATTGTCTTCAAAAACACCTATTAGCATCTACATGTCACAATGGAAA